AACCCATAACTGGAGTACAAATAAATATTCGCACAGCAAGTGGGGTCACTACAAACTAAGCCAAAAGTCTCTCCAAAAAATTAAGCACATTGATAGACTATGATTTGGTGTAGGTTACTATTAGGCACTTAGAAACGTTCTCGATCAAAACGGCGGTAAGTTGTTATTCAGTTATAAATTACCGTACTTTATAAGTTATATATTAACTAAAACGCTTATTTTCACATAAAAATAGTTCTCATCACAGCATAAAGGCTTGAACACGATAAACAATATACCATCAGTTAACGCACCCATTACGGGCGGCCTTAGCTTGTACGGCTTAATCAAGATAGTGCTAACTAACTCGTTGAAGGCAGCGAAATTGTTCCACACATAGAACAGTGAATATGCTTTGTTCTGATTCTTCTTATAAAAAACCTGTATTAAGAAATTCCTCATTTTTCAAGTTGGTTAAAGACTTATACTACAAGGAAATATAAGGATTTGATTCAATTCTGCTGGTTTCGTTGATTTCCTGCTGTGTTATACTCGTAGCTCACTGATAAGCACATAACTTGGTAGATAGATATTCATATATCCCATAAATATTATAAATGCGAATGTTTGGATGGATGTTTGTTACTCAATCACGACAGAACGGCTGAACGGATCTGGGTGAAATTTGGCACAGAAATTGATTATAGTCTGGAATAGTATCTAGGTTACTTTATATTTGGTTATTGCGGTTCCCGTGGCATAGAATTGTTCTTGTTGTTGTTTAGAGCAAGGGATTGACTATCTATTCCATACTAATCGTTAAAATATAACTAGGGACGAACCCGCACAAAGTGAAGGTGAGTCGTTAATATTAACTATATTCATAATCTGTAATACAAATTATTGTACACGTTCGAAATATTTTATTGTATATATTATAAATTACTTTAGAAATTTTAGCAATCAAAATATAGTAAAAAAACTGCATGATAATAAATTAACTAATTATGATATACTTCTTTTTACAATCGGCTAAAAGTACCGCGCATGAAGATAAAGCCTATTCTAGCATTATTAAAGGTAGACGTAGATTTCGTAATCTCTTCATGCCATTTCCACACTCCCCTAATCTAGGACCCATCCTCCACCAATCTTGTAGTCTTTTTATGAACGAGTAAATGCGTGTTTACTAGCATTTGTGCAAGTTGAATTTATGTTATTGCTGGGTGGTATGGCCTAGTTGAGAGCAGTTTACGATTTCCCTCGTTAAGTAATCTTGACCTAAGGTTGTAAAAGGATGGGTAACCTATGATGTCACTGCTGTTTTAAACTTTAGATTGCAAACCTGGCTCTTGCAATAGTATCTTCTAGGTTTTGCTACTATAATATTGTGCGCATTTTTAAATTTTCTTATTCATTATTAGCCTCTTTCCCCAGGTTTTGCTTAAGTGTAAATCATGGTACTAGTTATATATAGGAACGATTAAGCTTTCGAGTACATGTAATTTGAGCGTAATCTTACTATGTTGATATTTATGGAACATATACTTTGATGAATGATAAAAATATATGTCAAAAATAGATGAACGTTATTTTATATTTATTAACATATTATCATAAGCTATCTCCCACACCACAACTTCTTTCATCACACCCAAATATTTAATAGTAAATATTAGAACTTCGATGGTATTTGGTAGTAATCAAACCCACATACATCTACTGACTCCCCTAATGAAAACGTTTCAAAGGATTCAATTTGTGTATTTTTTGTATGTAGCCGTTGTCTTTCTAAATTGTGAACCGAATCTCATGATTATATGGGTAAAACCTCCATGGATTAGGCAATAAAAGTGACCCCCCCAACGTGCGTTCACCTTGTCGTGGTGGGGGGGGCTCAGTAGTGCCCGGCAATACAGCCGGGCGCGGAGCCAAGACACGCACAGGAAGGTAGCCCGCCTCAGTGGGCGGTGGGAGGCGGCCCTCTTCGGAGGGCGGTATACCATGCGAGTTGCTCTTGGTACTTCTCTGATAGCAGATTGGACCTTGGAGCAACCCCGTGGTTGTTGTGGTCTGCTTCGGCAGACCTGCCCGTTGGGGCGTCGTAGTTGAATGCGTAAGCGATCCTGCGACGCCCCATTAAGACAGGAGAAGGTTTTAGTGGGTAGTACTGGCTATGCCGGTGAGTCCCATACTTCGTGCATAAATGCATTTCCCAACGTTAAAAAAATGGCAATAAAAGTGAACTAATATTAATTACATTAAAAAAATTATCAATAACACTCGTGGAATACTTACTGTTAAAGAAATTTAGAAGTTATTATCATAAGAAAAAACGGTCCTTCTAGCTCTTTATTTAATCTAGATTTTTAATAACACAATCATTGACATTTTTAATCAACCAAGCATCAGAATTCATTGTACAATATACAATACTAACACTCATTAGTGGACACTATGTACAAATTTTAATCTCAATGTAAGAACATGTAGATATAATTTGCATTTTTTACATCATCTTGTAACTATCCAGTTAGGTGAGGTGGAACTAAAGCTATAAAGAAAACAGTTAATGCTATGTTTCATCATTAACAAAATACCGCATAACAAGGGAACACAGTACACAAATTTTACGTAATTTTCACGTCTTATTCAGAGTTACTGATGACAGATGCATAAATCTAACTTACTCGAAATGGTTATTTTGCTTCATTTGCATACCCGTTGAACGCAGCATGCGACATTTGATGGAACCCATAAATACTTTTAACTCAAGTTATCTTCTACATCGTATCAATTTGTAAAGTTTAACTATAACGACGTGTCAATAAAAAATTAACGTCATTTACTATTTATAGTATCGGTTTTAGTATGTTGTTAATTGTTTCATATATATATACACATATATATATATATATTAATTATATATATATATATATATATATAGATATATAATTATATATATATATATATATATATATATATAGATATATATATATATATATATATATATATATATATAATTAAATGTGGGATTTTTTTTCAAGTTTGGTGTGCGTGTATTCAGAATTCTTCTCCTCCTGAAAGGCTTATTCGATTTTGACGTTTTATTTTGTGTACTTATGGGGTGGGGTCATCAAGTAAGTAGACATGTTTTACAATTGACCAAATATGGTGGCAGAATAATGGATGCCTACCGGATCCGCTAGTTACACACACTTTTGGCCATTTCTTTTAAAACTTAAGAGCAATCTTTCAAAAAAATGATCTTTATTGACACAGTCAATCAAACACGACATATATGTACATTCTGTGTACTCCTTTTAAAAGAGAAGACCATTTTCAAAAGCTACACATAAAAACTTACCTAATAATAATACAATACTCTTAAAATAACCCACATCCTATAATACGAACAATAATTTCATATTCAGTGTCAAGCAATTATAGCGGTCAGATCTAAATCTTTGTATAAATTCATGCTACTCTATTTTAGGTATAGGCACCTAAGTAACGAGACGTGACAGCCTTCCATTATTCATATTTCGTTGAGAATAATTCAAATCTGATATTGTATTAATATATTATAATACATTATGATATAGTTCACTTGATATTTGATGGAATAAATGCCATTAGACGCAGTAGCATTATGGTAGATCGTAGGTTCGATTCTTATGTAGTATATTTTTTATTTGAAAGCCATATATTACGTTAAATAGTGTTTCTAGATAGGTGTAGTATTTGAATATTTCTGTATGTTAATATAATTAACATTATTTTTTTAAATGAATTTTATTTCTTTCCTGTTAAGGAGCATAATTATGTATAGTAAATACATAATGACTTTCACTGAATAACTGTCATAAGCTAAAATTCGAAAATAATCGAGTTCTCCTTTACATCCGAATCCTCTCGGAATATAGCAAGAATCTGTAAGCTTGGGTCGCTTTTTTGATACAATTCATGACAACAGAACAGTGTGTAACAACAGAAGTAAATCAAGTCACGTAGTAAACCTCAATTAGACGGTATCTATAACGCGAGATCCACACCCATAACGAAGAGGCACTTATCTAAAATTTCTCATCTAGTGACTCATATGATACATGTTCGCAAAATTACGAGCACAAACTGGACATAGGTTTATAACGTTAGTTTTGTTAACCGACTACTTAAAAAGGGGATACTTAACATGAACCAATTTAGAAGGCTAACTTTAGTTTTGTAGATGTACTGTAATATACAGTGCAAATTTCTTAATACATAATTTCTGCAATATTTTAACTAATTATATTTTTCTTATGAGATTAGAATCGGTAACAGACAGCTTATTAGGTAGTGCCTATTAGATCTTTGCTATATTATTTGTAGAAATATTATTTTACATCTTAAATATTGCAGACGCTCATGTTGAATACAAATTCAATATTTGTCAATTTAATAAATGGCAAACGAATTATAAAGTTAGAAATGCTCTTCAGGGTTCAAATCCGTGACAATTAGATGTAGGTCGTATTTAAACTCTGAATCATATTTTGAAATATTGTCGAGTTCTAAAGCCAGTAAATGCAAATAGTAGGCGTTAAAAGTCATAATAATGACACTTGAATAGAATCATTTAATAACTAAATTAATATCCCTGTAAAAGTCATCTAATATACATAATTTGAATTAAATCTAAAATTAAATTAATAATTTATGACATAACGTCATGTTAATGGGTATGAACTAAAAAGTAATTTAGCAGGTAAAAATAATATGCAAATCCCGAATATAAGTTAAGCAAGAAGATGGTACAAAAAAGGTTCCGGTCATGCAATACGCAATCAAAAATATTGTTATAATCCAAAATAATGTGACAGGTCGTAATTTTGAGCAAAAAACGTACCGATCACACCGGGAATCAGTGAAACTGTAACACAATCACATATTTTACGCTTTTGTATGAGTTTAATTGAGCAAGAAATGAGTCGAGGCCGCTCTCAGCGGGGAAACAGCCGAATTTATCCAAAATATATATGAGAAACCCTCAACTTATTTACGTCGAAGTCGCTACAGGACGTAAAAGAGCATCTGCAATATTAAGTGTAAGATATAACCTTTCTGCGGTGACCCAGATTTCGATCCGCGCTGTGCTCTTTATGATGACTTTTTGAAAAATGTAGTTTTTAATTTCGAGCAGAGATGGTCGCGATCAGGCGAGCCCACATGTGACTTTTTAACTGTAAAGCATATAAATTGCTATTTTTTATGCGCAGCCTGCGGAAGTCTGTCGATATTTTACATCAAATTAATGCAGCCGCGTTTACAAAATCGATGTCATCATTTTTTTAACTAAATTGAATGCAATTTTAATTTTCCTTTATTAATATGGCAATTCTCTCTTGTTGCAGTCATTCTTCGGCCGGACGTACAACAACCTGTCTTCAATATCAGAATGTAAAAACAATGGTGAATGTGTCATCAACAAGAAAAACAGAACTGCATGCAAGGCATGCAGGCTACGGAAATGTTTGCTAGTCGGTATGTCCAAATCTGGATCAAGATATGGAAGAAGATCAAACTGGTTCAAAATACACTGCCTTTTACAAGAACAACAACAACAACATATGCAACAAATGCAAACGAGTAAATCTCCTCCAAATTTCAATACTTCTATAAATCCTTCTTTCTTACCTACTAATCTTCTACCTGCTGCAGCTTTAGCAGAATACTATAAAAATACAGAAAAGAATGCTTTTACTGAAGAGGTTACGCGTCAAAGTGTGTCTCCATCAGATTCTGGTGCTTCGTCAGCTGATCCAGAAGATGATAATAGTTCACGGAGTACGAGCGGATTAAGCATTTTTAGACCAGCTTCCTCACCTAGTAGTGAAAAAGATATTAGACTTCACGCAATAAGGAATCAAAACAAAGATGTTAGAAGAAAAAAGCCTCCAACAATGTCACCATCGTTTGGTGCGACTGCTTCACCTAGCTTCTCACCGAGGTCAGCTCAATTTATGCCTACTCCCATACAAAATCTTAGACCCATACCACCAGGTATGCCTTGGCCTTCTTACAATGGGGGAGACTTATTACTACATTCACCAGCAGTAGCTGGAATCGCAGTTGAACAGGACCAGCCTATAGACCTCTCTATAAAATCTACTGCTGTCATATTTAGAAGTCCAAAAAATGAAGAAGTCAGTGACTCTGAACCAGAACTAAGCATTGATTTGAATGATGATAATGGCAAGGATATTATGAAAAATCCTCTAGATTTGAGTATCGTATCAAAACGAGCAGAAAAAGTTTCTATGACAGGATGAAGTAAAATTATACTTAGGATTATTAATTTGTCGTGATTTTTCACAGCCATATGTCATGTTGCTATTTATATGTAAATAAATACGTATTTTGGTTGTCATTCCTAATTAAATGAAGGTTTCGAGTACTTTGACAAAAAATACTCTACCATTCAGTATTTGAGTAAAGCATACATTCCTTCTTTTAGATTATCTGATATTGCTGTTCTCTTGTAGATATTAGGTAGATTATTTTTAGAATTGATCATGTTTTATGTCAAGTGATATGTGTCATATTTTTGAAAGCGAGAAAATGATGTTTTTGGTAATATTCTTCTTTTCCGTCCATTTTAAATATATGTAAAGTAAGAACTTTAATGTCGTTGTCATAAATAAAATTAGTATTTTTCTTGATATTTATAAATTCTCTATACAAATCATCAATTTTAATGTTAGTTATAAATATGTAATAATCATTTCTCGCTTAATTTTATTTTAGTGAAAGAAATATTGTGCCAGTTGATGAACTATGCCAGTTTTAAGTGTATTACCATAGTAGTTTTATTTAGTGGGATTACGGCCAGTCATGAAAATTGAAATTGAGATGTACAAATGGAGATAAAATTGTATGATATTAGATGATTTACTGAAACAGAAATTATCTAAGTATTTATTCTAGTTAGGCCAGTTAATTGAGTCATAAAATAAGGAGCTTTAGGATAATTTGTAATATATAATTTAAAGTTTTGTGTTTGCATCGTTTAATATTTCGTTGTTTGTTTAGTTTGTTGAAGATTTATATGATTATACATTCCTTATACAATTCTCATTAAACGTATTTGATTCTTTAAATTTCTTAGCATTATGATGTTCTGTTCTCTCATAAATCTTTTGACTTAATAGTATCATTTATTGTTATGATTTGCTGCACATTCTTATATTAAAAAATATTATGACCTTCCTATTTCTAATATGTGTTTGATTTTCAATTAGTTAATATATTTCAAACTTAGTATAATTATGAATTCCTACGAATGAAATACGTAAGTTATAAACTATAGTTATTTGTTATCAGTGTGATACAATTTTTATCTACGTGTTTATATTTTTTTACGTTTATAAAATCTTAATATATTGAAGAAGATTAAATGTGAGTGCCTTGAATAATGTTTTATTTATTTACCAAAACTTTCTGATTAGTACTTTAATTTTAGAAATAAAAGAGTTATAATTTCTATCATAAGCTTGAGAAAAAATCAATTTAATATGAACAAATAAGTTAAAATACAATTTTGAATATTCCATTTCTGTTAATTTACTGCGAAGTTTTTCCAATAAAATCATTCAATTGAAGGATATAGAGCACAGACAGTGTTAAAAATAATAAGCATAAACGAGTATAATTACAGTATTACATGTAATGTAAAGATCTTGCAGTCTTGTTTTAGAGTTTTAATGATAAAAATAAATCTTTCGATGATATATAGCCTATATTATTTGTCAATAAACAGGCTATCTAATACAAAAATAATTTTTCAAATCGGATTAGTAGTCCCTGAGATTAGCGCGTTCAAACAAACAAACAAACTCTTCCTCTTTATAATATATATATATATATATATATATATACTAACTACATCTACATCCACTAATGATGCGAAAATAGTCTAAACTTTTAATTCTACATATTATTGGTACAAAGACAGTATTACTATAAAATATTTTTTAATTTTATATTTTCGTCATCTTATTATTTCATTACATTAAAGTTTTGAGTTAAGCGTTAGAAATTATACAAGAAACAAAAAGCATTGTTTTTAAAAATCCTAATATATGGTATATATGTAGGACAATTCATAATAATTATATGAGCTGAAGTTCGAAAACTTTACTAACCGTTGAAGAGTTTCACTATCCATTTCCTGGATCTATCAGATCAACGAAATGACATAAACTTATTAAATTATTATATGTATATCACATAATTATAAATTTACAATCGTTATAAATGTACTAAATGCGACATGCAAGATGTATGCCATAGTTAATAAAAGCGTGCTAAGAAACTTTTTCTACTTGAAATCGATTTAAATGCTATAAAAATGATATTAAGAGATTATTACGACAATATTATGTATAATTAGTACTTCCTACATATATGATAAAATATCTTCAAAAGCTCAATAAAAAATCTAATAACTTTTAAGCTAAATATGACTTAAGTTATTGCTATAAAAATAATTTTAATTCAAGCTTTATTGATCATTAATTATTGAATTAGATTCATAATCGTTAATTTAATCACTTGGTAGCGATTAATATACTTGAACCAGTTAGTAAGAATTATTTTTATTTGCAGTAGTTTCCACAAAATAAATATTGTACTAAATATGTATATTAATGAAATTTACGGAATAAAAAGTATCCTATGTCCTTCCTAGGGTCTCAAACTATTTTTTTGCCAAATTTAATCTAAATCGGTTTAGTAGATCCCGAGATTACCCCCTACAACGTCACAAAATCACAATCTCACAAGCTTTACCTCTTTATAATATTAGTGTATTTAATTCTAGTGTATGATTTTTGTATATCTGTAATGCTTCTATTATTATGGTAATGTTATATTTTAAATATAACATAAGTGATAAAAAGTAGCTTATGTGTTATTCTGATATATGAGCTATATTACTGTAATTTTTTATTAAAATCCATTCAGTAGTTTTTGAGTGAAAGAGTAACAAATATCCATACATACTCACAAACTTTCGCATTTATAATATTAGTATTATCATATATTATCATTTTTGCAGTTTGAATGTCCCACTACTGGGCATAGATTTCTCTTCAGTGCAAGGGGGATCAAACAATAATCTATCACGCTAGCTAAAATAGGGGTTGGCGGATTTCATATAGGTATTATCATTTTAAACACTACTGCTTTTTAGACAGCTTTTCTCACAATAATTACATTCACTGTAAGGCAATTGATAATCATGTTTGAAATGATACGCATGAAAATATCAGGACTTCGGGGTCGATTCACTTTTTACTTTTCCAAATGAGTACGTTATCATCGCGCTACCACTACCTGAAAAATTTATACATTTTCAGAAAATAATCTATCTTTCAGGGAAGAATTACATGTTCTTAGTCAAAAAATGTTAATTGGCACGTAGGTAGCTATATAAAATGGGTAGACTCAGTAACACCAAATAAGTACAAAATATTACTCCGGAAACTGTATACAAATTATGTAAATTAGAACTAACAAACAAATAAGAATCTATGAGAGTCCTAATAGGTGAAGCATTTCTCATAATCATCTTCATTTGAAATTAAAATTTACCCATACATTGTGAAGAAATGCTACTTGTATTTCACACCGTTCTAAATTATTCAGTAAAGCTACTGTAAACTACTGTAAAATTTTCGAGTGTAAATATTAATTTGATTTGAATGAAAGAAGTTTGTTTTGAATGTAAATTCTCCTTTAGAATACAAATTTTGTAAGCATAGGCTGTTAGTATCTGTTCGAGAACATCCATAATGAATAAATTAATAACCCCGTTTGAAAAAAAAGTTAAACCCACTTAAAATTTAATTTATAAAAGTTGATTTATCTTGAAATTAATTTGGTATTAAACTTAAGGTTTAATTCTATTCATTTACAAAAGGATCATTAAAATCGGTCTATAATTGGCGAAGATATCACGTAACATACACACATACATAAAATGCAGCAGAATAGAATACCACCATTTTTCAAAGTCGGTCAGCAATTTTAGTATTAATTAACAAATACTTTTATTATTATATATATAAGGCAGTGCCAGCCCAAATTTCATCCAGATCCGTTCAGCCGTTCTGGCGTGATTGAGTAACAAACATCCATACATCCAAACTTTCGCATTTATATGGAAGTAAGATAAAATAAGACAAATAATTATAAATTAATTTATATCTATATTGTTGCTAATGATATAAAGACATTGGTACATAAACCTATCTATAGTTAATGAAAGTTTAATTCAATGAGTTAGTTACAAGATAAATTATTTAACATTATTTACAGACCATTAAGATATATAATTAAATTTTCTTCTTGTATCTGCTAATAATGAAAAACTATTAAACGACTTTCTAAATTCCATTCAAATGTGTCAAAGGGCATCTAAAGGCCAATCTATTTATTTTATTTCGAATTAAGTATACTATTGGATATAATATATAATTCTATTTGTCTCTCTTTGACATTTGATATTATTAAATTATTGATACTTAAATTTCGGTATAGTGGCTGATACTCGTAATGTACGGGTCACGTGTCTGATATCTTTTCATTAGGTTTATTTTCAGTTCTTTATGAGGCGTCGCAGGATTGGAAGATACGCAGCCACGATGCCCCGATGGCTGGCTTGTCAACCACAACGACCATGGGGTTACTCCCACGGTCCAGCTCTGCTATCAGAGAGGTACCAGGAGCAATCCGCATGGTACACCACTTACCAGTGTATCTCTTGTATTTACGCCCGAACGCTAATGAGCCGACCCAAAAAAAAAAATTACTTGTAATAAGTGAAATAAGTAAATAAGTAGACTACTCACGCTTGCTTCGTTCGGGTTCATCCCTAGGTACGCTTCAATAGTTAGGTTAGTAGGGAATAGATAGACTATAATATATTATATTACTCATCAGCTTCCTTGGGCAGTAGCATGATGATATATAGCCTATTGCCTTCCTCAATAAACAGGCTATCTAATGCAAAAGGATTTTTTCAAATCCGATAAGTAGTTCTTGAGATTTGTGCTTTCAAACTGACAAACAAACAAACAAACTCTGCTTCTTTATAATATTAGTATAGATTATATTTATGTAATAAATAATTTAAACATAAGTTTTACAGTTACATTATCGTATTTTTTATAATATTAATTCATGCAATCACACATATTTATATATTTATATGCTATATAAATAAATATATGAAGTGACAGTTTCAAATCGTTACTAATAGTTACTG